AGTTTGATAAAATAATAACATTGAGAAAGAATGTGTGTAACATTCAAGACTCCAAACAATCGACTCGTTCTGTGAAGGGGGCGGTTCGTTTAGTGTGTCAGGCCAATGAAATGCTCCTTCACAGACCACACTCGAATTCTATTGGCTCTTGCTGCTGTCAGTCTTTGAAAGGACAAAAGCAGACGAGTCAGTACATGAAAGTTTAGGAAATGTCGTTCACTTAACAAGATTCACTCGCTGCGGTTGTGCTCTATCACTGTAGCATATGTTTCAGTGAAAGGTCTTTTCGGCTGTGGCGTGTTCTGTGCAGGACTCAAGGGTAACTGGACCTGTTGATGTTGAGTTGGCGTTTTGGATGAAGAGCCAAAGAGAGTCCAGACATTATAACTAAGCAGGTTTGTACACCGGCATTTTTCACGGTTTTGCCTTTCAACAGTTTTCAAGTTGCTTCTTTGCCAAAATGCATTTTGTTTGTATATGCAGTATTTTTTTTCCTTGTGTGATTTAAATTTTAACCTGCTTGTTTTATATTCCAATTAGTCCTCAGTTAAATACACATTTCTGTTGTTTTCTTTGCTGTTTACTAATTTAATGTTTGCTTTGATCCAGAATTGTGCTGTTGCTCGAGTGCCATGACTGTACGCAGAGGTGAATATATTTTAATATAGTTATAGTTAAACACACAAACATTATATATTGATATATACATTGTATGTACACACATACATATATATATATATATGTATATATATGTATGTGTGTGTATGTGTGTGTATGTATATATATATATATGTGTGTGTGTGTGTGTGTAACAAAAAACAAAACAAAAACAAGCTGTGGATCATTCAGGTAACAACACAGTATTAACAATCAAGTGTATGTAAACTTTTGAACGGGGTCATTTTTATAAAGTCAACTATTATTTTCTCTTGTGGACAATATATTTTATGTGAAATATCTGATTCAGGCCAGTACTAAATAAAAAATAACATGCATTTTGTATGATCCCTCTTTTGGTCAAATAAGTAACATTTTGCAGATTCTGCAAGGTGTATGTAAACTTTTGATCTTATGCGTGTGTGTGTGTGTATATATACAGTATGTGTGTATATGTACAGTATGTATGTATGTATGTGTATATATGGCAATTACTTAAATATTTGACAACTTCTATTTGACATCTTGTCTTTCCCAGTGAACGTGGTTATTCTTGTTCTGCTTGTCATCGCCTTTTTAATTATTTTGCATCGGAATCTGCTGAATCTCAATGATTTCCTGAAGCAAGAGAATCCAGGTATGAATATATTAATGTTAGTGAAGTTTAAAAGTTTTTTTAGCACGAAATGCACCCCCTCGCTGATTTTCCTGTGCGTTTGCAGACACAGCGTCTGGGATGGTGCTGCCCTTTGAGACGGACTTCCTGTCGGATCATAAGGTCATCAGGACAGGAGATGAGATTCCAGTGGTCATCACCGCTCCAGAGGAGAGACTGGGAGCTACTGTCACCGCCATGAACAGCATCTACCGCAACAGCAAAGCCAATGTAGTATTCAGTATAGTGACACTAAATGAGTCGGTGGTCCATCTTAGGTACACCTTGTATTGCATTACAGTGGTTTATTAAAGTATGTAATGTTTCATGATTAACATGATTATTTCTCATTCCAGAACATGGTTGAGTAAGACTGACTTGAAGCACAAAATTATCGTATTTGATCTGAAGATCCTCACAGGAAAGATTCCTACTGATCCTCAGAAGGTGGAGGCAGTGAAGCCGGTAATCAATCGCAAGTGCTTCTATTTAAATAAGACTGTTTGGTGTTGTGAAAATGGAAATGATGTATTGTAACTATGTATGTATCTTATTTTTCTAGTTGACCTTTGCTAGATTCTTCTTGCCTGTTTTCTTGCCGGAAGCAGAGAAAGTAATTTACCTGGATGATGATGTTATTGTACAAGGTAAAGTGCGTAATTTTATAGTTTGTATTTTTTATAAACCCCAGAATTCTAGTTTTGTCCTTAGGGGCATAACCAAATTTTTGTCCAATCTAATAGTCTCTAGAATCATAGACTGTATAGAAACATGGACGTAGTGTCCGTGACGTCACCCGTAGATTTCCGAAGAGCGTTTTTGAAGCTCAAAAGTGGGCGGAGGCGGCCGTCGCCATCTTGGCAGCGCGTCACCGCGCGTCACTCCCGGATAATCAAAAATGGGCAAAGAGGCGGGAGCAGGTTGCTGAAGCCACGCCCACCTAGCTCGACGGTGGTGACAGCAGCGGCAATCCACCTGTCACTCAAGTGGCCACGCCCTTAATTATGCAGAACTTTAAGGCTTAATATAATTTAAACGGATGAGTTATAAAAAAAATTCACCCCCCTCACAGTTGTCATGAAGGGCAAAATTAGCTATATAGACCAAAATCTTTTTTTGAACCAGGCTGTAAACATGTTTTTTTCTGTTGTAAAGTTGTGCATTTTAACATGGGGAGTCTATGGGATTGACTCACTTTTGCAGCCAGCCTCTAGCGGCCAGTTGACGAATTACAGTTTAAGTCACTTCCTTGTTGGCTTCAGGAGAGAGAGCGGGAGGTTGCCGCTTGTCTAGAATAAGAAAAACACCTGTCCTCGCCTCAATTAATTTTTTTTTAAATGTATTTTTGAATATGTAACTTTGTGGAGTTATAAATGAGTAATTATGTTTGAAAGAAAATTTGTAGGGCAGTGGTCCAACCTTTTTGTCCTCTAGGCCCACAATGTTCACAGCAATATTTGAAGGCACTATCACTGCAACATTTACAGGAATTAGGAGTGCTCATAGATGAAAAGATTGAAAATGATATATAATTAAAATGAAAGATTTCCAGAAGTTTGGGGCTCGATTATAATAATAAATATCTAGATTATAAGAAAAATATCAAAAAAGAAATATCTGACACATCTAGATGTGTAGTTATTTTATTGTAAAGCTTGTTTTGTCTTTTCAAAACATTTGAAGTCATCTTGAGCCTCCCTTAGAAGTTTGCTGAGGTCTGAAAATGCAGCTTTCTATATTAAACAATAGTTATTTGTATTTGTTGTCTGTATGCTGCAGAAATAGTAGTAGTTTGATACAGTGCAGTTTCCATTCAAATACAGTAAGTAACCGTAATAAGCATTGATTGTATTCTTTTCTGTGGTTTAGGGGACATTCAGGAGCTTTTCGACAGCAGTATTAAGTTGGGACATGCAGCAGCTTTCTCAGAGGACTGTGACTCTGCGTCCTCTAAAGGCATCGTCAGAGGAGCTGGAAATCAGGTACGATCGTACTGTTCTGATCCAGAATTCACACTGTACATAGAAATTCATCAAAATACTATAACTCAGCTGGATGGCGAAGATGAATGGAGAAAAATTAGAATACAGAATAAGATGGGTTTTTTTTTCTTTAGACTTATTATGCAGTATCTTTCATTATCCAAACACAGCCATATGGTTTTTAAACATATAAACCAGTTTTAACCGTAAGAAATTGGTCATACCACTCAGTGACTTTCAAAGAAAGTTTTCAGAACATATATTCCATTACTAGTTTATATATTTACATGGATTTGCATATTTATTTTACATGATGCAGAACAGCTATATTGCTTTTCTGGACTTCAAAAAAGAGGCGATCAAGAAGCTTGGAATGAGAGCGAACACTTGCTCGTTCAATCCTGGAGTCTTTGTGGCCAATTTAACTGAGTGGAAGCAGCAGAATATCACCAGCCAGCTTGAGTTCTGGATGGAGCGCAGTGCCAAGTTAGTTTGTGTTCTGCTGTTTTATGTTACTGGAAACTACAACATTCGTTCGTTCAGAAAATGTATGTCATGGCTGCCAGCTCTGTGTTAGGAACGCCTCCTTTCTGCAAGAAGCCTCGTTTTTTTGGAAAAGGCAGTCAAGAACTCAGTCTGGGACATTATACTGTAACATTATCTGAAAGAGACACATGAGAAAAGATGCTCTTACTGTATGAGCTTAAAGAGAAATAACCCCCTTAAAATACAGTAAATTGACTCCTGAAAAAGTATTTCCACTGTTGAAGTTTTGCTACATTCTATGAAATGCCCCTTCATTTTAGAAACTGGACATAAGTGATGTTGATGCTTTCAAAATGAATAAATTCCATCCACTTCCTTTGTAACCAATTCAGGAGAGTATGAAGTTTGAGCATTAAAGGGATGTTTGGTCACTCTTATTCTTCAACATTTCTTCTTCCGTGTTAAATAGAAGAAAGAAACTCATACAGGTTTAGAACAACATAAAGACGAGTAAATGACAGAATTTCCATTTTCGGGTGAAATATCTCTTTAAAGCTAACAGACATGAACTTAAACCACAAACCTCCAGTTTGGCTGTCATGAGCAGTGATGTTCCTTACATGCTGCTGATTGCACTGTTTGAGCAGAGTCCTGACCGCTTCCAGTGGACTCTCCTCCTTCTCCTCTACCTGCAGGCTCCTGAGGGCCATCGCATCCCCTGGGCTACTGGGAGCCGCCACAATCCCTGGACTATCAATCATCTTCACCCTCTTAGTAATATGCACTTCCTGCTTGCATCTACATGGAGGGGGGAAGAATGTTATTGCGGCGGTACCTCAATGCCTTGCAGCAGAAATGCATTGTGGGATATGAAGCTCAGTGTTGGATTGATTGAAGACTTCATGCTTTGGTCAGTCCAATACAGTTCATCATGCTTCAAATTCACATCTGCAAGGACACCAAATAGTGAAGCTTTACCTGGTCACTCCTCTCTGCACACCAACATGACACACTCGGATTTCTTTCAGACTATTGATGATACTGCTCTTTCCAACATTAGGGAAACCTAAAGTCAAGATAAAAACAAATAAGAGTCAAAAGAAAACTGATTTTAAAGTTGGATTATTTGTCAGCAATGCCTCTTGCCTCATTACGTTACTGTGGTCCATACAAATGACAAGAAATCTTACCGACAACACCAACTTTAAGCATGGTCTCAGCATCCTTCTTGTCAGCCAAATCAGTAAGCGTCTGTAGGAGACAGTCTCTTCCAAAACATGAAGCTGCTCTGCTGTGATCCAGAACTGCATTAATTCCTCTCTGTTGCTGTAAAATAGAGATTATGAGATGACAATATCTGCCAAGCTTTGAAATCAATCTCTTTGTTGTTTTTTGCTATACTAATGCTAATAGTATAGAATAGTATGAGGTCATTACATTTTTTTTCCTCATGAAATTAATGTTTCTTTAGCAATGAGACATTCAATTGATCAAGTGTCAGTAAAGACATTTCTATTGTTTCAAAGGATTTCGAAGGTGAGCATAAGAGATTTCTTTCAAAAACACAAACATATCTTACTGACCCCAAACTTTTAATTGGTAGTATCTGATCAATTCTGGATAGATTAAAAAGTCCCACCCAACATTTGTTTTTCCCTCATTGCATATCCCGTTTAATTTGGGAATTCGCTGCATTTTGGGATCACATATACATACCACCGTTCTGTCCTGTAGCTGCATTGATGCTTTGAAGAGAAAAGTAGGACACTCAGCTTCAAGATACCGGAGCCATTTCTCTACGTTATCTTTAGGAACAAGATCTATAAAGTAAAAACAGACTTTAATAACCAATTTCCATCTTAGGAACTTCACGACTTGAAGTGTAAGGCAATGCAAGCTGCTGTCTACCTATTTTGTTCAATACGAACAAGAGTTTTTTCGTTCCCTCGTGTTTCAGGACGGTTTCCTCCAGCTGAGGACAGCGGCAGCCCAGAGGATCTCTGGCATCCAAAACCTCCACGATCACGTCAGATTCCTCAATCACCTGCACAAAAATTCAAGCCAATGTAATATCGAACTTGTGAATAACAACTCTGGTCATGCTAGAGACATCACAGATTTAGGAGTATATTATTGTCAAGTGCTGGCCATCAGTTTGTCAACTTGCCTTGTTCAGCTCGCAGCATTTGAATGTTCTAGTGCTTCTCTCTTTAACTATTGCAGCCTTTGCTTCTTTAGCTTTCGCCACCTGCAAATGAACAAAGTTAGCAGTGTTGCTCGAGCCAGTAAGCTACTTATATAGTAACCATTTCTACATTTCTTACCTTTTTAGCTTTCTTAGTTGCAGGTTCGTCTCCAGCACTGGCTGCTTCTTTCTCCTTCTTCCTCTTTGCAGCTCTTTCTTGCTGTTTTGCAATCTTGTTTTGCTCTTTCAGAGTTTCAAGCTTGGAGAACAACACACAATCAGTTTAGTGCAAAGAAGCATGTTCCAGTAACATATGCACCGAACACTGTGAAGTCCAGTTATTAACTGTGCAGTCAATATGTAATATGGAAATATGTGGTTTTGCAGTGTCTGTGGTTTTAGTAATAATCATACCTCCTGTTTTCTCTGCTCAGCTTCTCGAAGCACTTCCTCTTTAAAAGGTGCACTGTTTGGTACTCCAATATCTTTCTTCGGCTTTCGGCTTATCCCTTTCTTCTTTGCCTCTTTCCGTAATTTACGGTTATGCTCCCGAACCTTACAATAGAGGAGGAGTAATAGATTTAGACACATAAGGCATCCGGGACACTTTTTAGAGCATTTTAAAAGACACAAACATAAGCATAAACACTACCATTAAAAGAAGTCACTTACGCTCAAGGATGCATTTATTTGATCAAAAATATTGTGAAATTGTGTTACAATTTTAAATAACTGTTTCCTATTTGAATATATTTTAAAATGTCATGTATTCCTGTGATGGCGAAGCTGAATAACGGCGGCTATTAAGCCAGACTTCCTTCTAATAATGCTGATTTGCTGCTTAAGAAACATGTATTATCATCATCATCACACTTGTGGAAACCATAATGCATTTTTTTCAGGATTCTTTGATGAATATTAAGTTCAAAGGAACAGGATTTATTTGAAATAGAAATATTTTGTAACAATGTAAAAGTATTTACTTCCACTTTTGATCAATTTAATGCATCCTTGCTGAAAAAAAAATAATAATAATTTAAATAAAAAAAACATACTGTCCCCAAATTTTGCATAGTTTGGTATATATGCATACCAGTGTAATATAGCAATGCACAATATATCAAAACCACATTTAATCCAATGCTCACTTATAATATATGCTTAAAACACTAATAATTTAATACAATTTTAATTAATTTGATCTCAATTTGTTTTTCTTTACATACAGTAGATTATAAAGCTGAAACGCATTTGGTAGCATTTGAAACAATATATATTAATGTTCTATTTCATTTTTTATGACTTAATTTCTTTTATTTAGGCAAAATAGTACTGCATTTTAATACTGACAAAAATATAAAAATAATGCTGGCAATAACAATTTAGACCTATTAATATCACCCATAATTTGAATATTGGCACATCTCTAATATAGGACAAACACAAACTTATAACATGACTTTGACAACATATAAATAACTTACAAAACAGTAATGCACTGAAAGTGGAACATGCAAAAATACAGTTAATATATATATATATATAAAAAAAAAACAGTATGAAAAGGTATCACATTGGTACTTGGATTCACACACAGAGAGACACACGCATTTACTAAACCTCTTATCGACACCACAGTAAAAACATGGTACTTTTTGTTAGCGATTTTAAGCTCTAGTTTGCTGACAACAACCAGGTCGCAACCAAAGCCTCTGTTCACTTATATATCGTGCACGGACAGTTAAAACCTCTTACCTTCTTTTGTATTTTGAAGCGTTTGGCGCATGATAGGCGTTTGCTCGCCTTCTTCAACTCTACAAAACAGACACATGAGTTTTGTCAGTGTGTTTTACAACTTCCGACGGCTTATTACGTCCTTATAACGAGCAACTGGTAAATATAAGGATTTCCGTAGGGTTTGTATGGTTAAAGCCATATATATATATATATATATTTTTTTTTTAGATTATATACTCACTCGGTCTCTTCATGTCTATCGATGCTCCAGCACGCGCTCCTCTCTCTCTCACTCACACACACACACACACGTCTGGTTTGCTATCCTTGTGGGGACTCTCCATAGGCGTAATGGTTTTTCTACTGTACAGACCGTATATTCTATTGCCCTACACCAACCCCACACCTAAACCTACCCCTCACAGGAAACTTTCTGCATTTTTAGATTTTCAAAAAACTTAATTCTGTGTGATTTATTAGCTTGTTTACCCGTGGGGACCTCAATTTAGGTCCCCACCGTGACACGAGTCCCCATGAGTCTGTGTGTAATCAGGTTTAAGTCCCCACCAGAATAGAAAAACAGGCACACACACGCACACACAGCGCAGCACGTGTCTCTGTTCCTCACTTCCGCTTCCGCTTTCGCACAGTAAAGGGTTAATTGTTCTCCCTCTTGGTTTTATTTAATAAATCAATCAGACTCCTCCGTGTTGCGTGTGTGTCAGTCCTCAGACAGCTCTCAGAGGCAGCTGATCAGACACGGACGGTAAGGCCTGCAGCTCGCGCGCTGTGTATTGTCTGCTGTTCATGCTGTAATAAAGCGCGAGCATCATCACGCAAAGCGTTGCATGGCCCAGTGCGTGTGAGTGTGAGTGTGTGTGCGTGGCTTTGTTTTTATCCTGTGCTGATACATGTGTCACACAGCTTGTGTCTGCAGAGTCAGACACATAGCGGTCCCACCTTCATCACCAGCATCATCATCATCATCATCATCGTGCTGCAGACACTCGGAACCCTGCAAACACTGTTGAAGAGCATTGGTCATCGGTCATGATAATAAATGCAGCTAATCACAGGTTCACGCAGTGTCTCATAGATGCACATCGCTCATGTATGAGCTGTTATTGTAATTACAGCATAATAAAAAGCAGACAGAAGCCGTGTTGATATGCAGCTTCTTGTGCAGTTTTATTTTTACACACAGTTTCAAAAATGGATATCTTGACTATACATGGATACACATGACTATTTAGACCTATCAGTTGCCACTAATGCTGTTATTAAGCTGGCATTAACAAGCATCACTGCACTTAAGTATTTCTTTAACAGGATTACTGCTACGTCAATAATACTCCATTGTGTAAAAAAAAGGTATACTTGCATTAAATACTGTGATTTGAAAACAATTTCCTGTTGGACCCTAAGCATTTTCCACCAATATCCATAGTTATAATGATTAATGTAAAGAAAATATGATATTTATTTATTTTTGTGATAGTAGTGACCACTTTACCTGAGTGGTTTTGTTTACATTTACATTTAATCATTTAGCAGACGCTTTACATATACTAATTGGAGTAACTATTGTTTTTTAGGGGAACTATGGCTACCATGGCACATTTTTGTAAAAACGACACTGGCAAATGGGTGTCTAGGCATAATAACTCTGTTGGTAAATAGTAATAAAAAGTATTACTGTAGGATTACTCTAAGAAGCTTACTGTTAATTCATGACAGAGACAACAATAATCCATTTGTTAACAAAATACGTCTAATTTGATTTGAAAACACATTTGTGTTGGCTTACCCATGATAAGCATAGTTTCAACCAAAATATCAGTTACTATAGTAATTGTTACTATTATGAATTATATATAAACTAATATTTGATGTCATTCGAAGAAGTTTTCAGATTCTTTGTGAAATGTATTGATTACAGTGTTGGCTTAAATTACCACAATTATATCTAACTACACTATAAAATAACGATAGAAATGTTAACTGTAAAAGACTGTAACGATGCTGTTAATTGGTTGACTCTAAGTTCCCTTAGCGATAACCTTACTGTAAAAAACTGTTAAATGTACAGTTTGTGGAAGTGAAAAAGAACAAGTCATCTTATAATTTACAATGAAAAAATCGATTCCCTGTGACAGCTCAAATTTGACGATATTTTATTTAAATAACTGTGGTAATAGTTTATGTTTGTCAGTTATGTATATTAGGGTTTTATGATACAACTCATGTTGTTTAATTCATGTATAATGCATTGTTTTAGTGTGTGTTACCATGATGGTGTTTAGAATTTGTTTGTATGACACTGTGCACCTTCTACTGCTCCGGGTGTGTGTGTGTTCACTGCTGTGTGTGTGCGCACTTTGGATGGGTTAAATGCAGAGCACTAATTCCGAGTATGGGTCACCATACTTGGCCACATGTCACGTCACTTTCACTTTCTAGTATTTCTCTCAGCTTGCAGAAAAGCTACTTGTGGTAGCTTTGATTGTGATGTAACTTCCTCTCTACCACCTGTGTTATTATGGAGGTTATCAGTATAAGTTACGGGTACACAACATCGTTTAGTATCAGGCCTTCAGCAGAAAATTCATCAGAAAAGCACTGTTGGATTTGCCATATCCAACGATGGAATACTTTTATTTTGTAAATTACAGTTTTAAACTGTAAAATGTGCAGGTTGTAAATGTGTTTACATTTCACTGTATTTTTACTCAATTATTTTGGCAACCCCAGCTGACAGTTTTTTTATTTCTTTTTTTTTTTCTGTAAAACAATATTCTTTTACAGTGTAGTTATGATGGTGCTTTGTTGTTTGTAAGAGCGGCCCCTCAGCCACAAATACTGTACCGCTAACAAATTCAACAGTATTTTTTTCTTCAACTATTTGAGTTATTATGTCCTTTTTCTGTGTGAAGGGCTTTTACAATGGGCTCAAAGCGACGGAGAGCCACTTCTCCGTCCAGCAGTGTGAGCGGAGGAGATTTTGAGGACAGCCAGACCACATCCATACCTTCAACCAGTCGGAAGAGGAGAAGAACCACAAACATCCCCACTGTTGACCCCGTGAGTTCAATTGAGTTTGTGTATTTAATGTCTCTGATATTAAAAAACTGCATAATAACACATTTCCCCTCATGTGTTATGCAGAAATGTGAGTTAAATCAATGAATGGCTCTCCTGATCCTGCCCTCACAGATCAAATGACTTCACATTCTGCTTTAGGGAAATTGCAGATGTTATTCAGTAAGCTTTTCCTTTACAGATTGCCGTGTGTCACGAGTTGTACAACACTATCAGAGACTATAAGGATGATCAGGGCAGGATGCTGTGTGAACTCTTCATCAGAGCACCAAAGAGAAGGTCAGTCACACATTAGAGATTTCTGCCCTTTAACCATTTGGGCAGTCTGACAGCTTTTGATAGTTTACTATCAACTAAAAATTAAATAAGTGTTAACATCATAATGGATAACACAGATAATGCTTCCCTACAGGAACCAGCCGGATTACTATGATGTGGTGTCTCAGCCCATTGACATGATGAAAATCCAGCAGAAGCTGAAGATGGAGGAGTATGACGACGTTGAGCAGCTCACAGCTGATTTTCAGCTCTTATTCAACAATGCCAAGACATACTACAAAGTGTGTATATATCAAATTCTGATTTAATTATTGTGTGTATTAGTGTTTCTTGTATTCTTTCTGTAGCTCCACCAGATATTCACTTATTCCAAAAAAATACACTGAAACCTTTTTTTCCTGTGCAGCCAGAAACTCCGGAGTACAGAGCGGCTTGTAAACTGTGGGATCTGTATATTCGCACCAAAAATGAGTTTGTGCAGCGAGGGGACTATGATGAAGACGATGACGATGACGACTCACAGGAAAACCCTGGAGGGGCCACAGAGGAGGAGGTCAGAAGCCCCAGATCTTGTCTCAGTATTGTCCTACATCTCATGCTTTGGACCTGTACTAATGCGATTTAGATGTGTCCAGACAAATCATTCTGGTTCGTTTTGTTTTTACAGTCTATCTCGAGCCTTAAGGAAGTTCTTGGGCAGCTTCTGGAAGTTGTGCTGATGTACACCGAACACGGGCGTCTCATTAGTGAACTTTTCCAGAGACTTCCCTCTAAAGTGGTAGTCCTCTCGATTTCATTCCAGCACTTGCACAAAAATATCATATTATTATTATTATTCATTTAAACATTCTTTTTCAGCAATATCCAGATTATTATGCTGTTATTAAAGAACCAATAGATCTGAAGACCATTGCACAACGAATACAGGTATCTTGTTTTATGATCATGCTCATATACAATATTGCCATTTATTATGGATTTACACTGAAGCTTGTTTCTTTTTGTCCCTAGATGGGCTTCTATAAAAGTGTAAACCATATGACTAAAGACATTGACTTGTTAGTCAAAAATGCCAAAACCTACAATGAACCCGGATCACAAGTATTTAAAGTAAGGTGTCACTGAAATTCTTTTGATATTTATATCTTAGAGTTATATTCATATTTATTCTCATACTCGTATATGTGAATTTCCAGGATGCAAACACCATCAAAAAGATTTTTGCACAGAGAAAACTGGAGCTTGAACATTCGGAACCTATTAAAAGCAGCATCAGGATCAGGTAAATTATGTTACGGATTTCATGTTACCATAACACACTTAATTTTATTTAGCTAGATATTTAGCTTTAGTCAATGTACCGTATAATATAATATAATATCTAGTATCTATAATTATTATTGAATTATATCAAATGTGTTTTCAGCATCAGGATAAGTTATGTTATGGATTACATTTGACATTACAATGTACACATTACATTTTTACCACAATTTGTTAGTTATATAATATAATACTATTTCTTAACTCTAATTATTATTAAATTATATAATTATTTCCTACCATCTGATATCACCCCTGTCTATTCTTACATTTTAATTTAGTAAAAATACTATTAAATAGTACCAAAAAGCAGCATTGCGTTCTATCCATCTTTTATAGGAATGTAACATTGTGATACCATGTTGTTCTTTGAAGTATTTTTTCAGTGCTGTAATATATAAAACAGTGTTGTGGTTTTACCATCTTCACTGTCATGTGGTGCCACCCCCGTGTTTGGTTTAACATTTTTACTTTTTTTAATCTACAAACAAACATTTATATTCTGACATATGTGACCCTGGACCACAAAACCAGCCTTAAGTGTCAATTTTTCAAAATTGAGATTTATACATCATCTGAAAGCTGAATAAATAAGCTTTCCATTGA